GAGGTAGCTAATACCCCCAGAGGAAAATATCAAAATTTAAAAAGACAAATTGGAAAGCTGGGCCAAAACTGACAAAATTAATTTTAACAGGGAAATTCAAAAGGGAAAAGTAGGGAAAATGTAGACAGGAAAAAATTAAATATACAAATATAGAATTGGTCACACTGGGCTTGACAACAATACATGTGAAGACGATCTAGAGGCCTCAGTAGACTACATGCCAAATATGAGTCAATAATGTGATGTGGCAGCTTTAAAAACCAATGCAATTCTAGGCTGCATCAAGATAAGGGAAGAAATAGTACTGTGTCCTGTTCTATGCACCACAGTTCAAAATGTCTATTGACAATTTGAAACATGTCCAGAGGAGGATGGCCAAGATGGTCAGAGGTCTGGACACCAAGCCCTATGAAGAATGTCAGGGCGCTGGTTATGCTTAGATTGGAGAAGGGAAGACTGAGAGACGACATGATCACTATCTTTAAATATCTGAAGGAATGTCATGTAAAAGATGGAGCAAGCATGTTTTCTGGTGCTGTGGGGACCAGAAAGTGTGATGTAGTGGTTTGTTTGTTGCACTATGACTCTGGAGACCAGGGTTCAAATCCCCACTCGGCAATGGAAACCCACTGTATGACCCTAGGCAAGTCTCAGCCTTAGAGGAAGGCAGAGACAAACCCCCTCTGAACAAATCTTGCCAAGTAAACCCAGTGACAGATTTGCCTTAGGGTCTCCATAAGCTGGAAATGACCTGAAAGCACACAGCAACAAACCGGACCAGAACACAAACCAAAGGATTCAAATTACAAGACAAGAGATTCCATTAGAAACAACTTATTTACTGTAAGAGTTGTTCAACAGTAGAATAGACTGCCCCAGAGGGTGGTGGATTCGCCTTCTATGGAGCTTTTAAAACAAATGTTGTATGGTCATCTTTTGGGAGTACTTTAATTGTGGATTCCTGCATAGCGAGTGGTTGGATTAGGTGGATTCTAGAGAGGAAATGCTTTGGACATGCATTTTCTGCATTCCTGGCAGGTAGCTATTGCAAGGTAGGTAGAGGACACCCCCCTCTTGTTATTGTTAATACAGGTAAGATAGTTCATGGAGATAAATGCATCAGCTCCAACTTTTTTCCATCTCTCCCGCTCAGAATGTATGTCTTGCTTCACTCTAAATATGGTAAAAGTGGCTTTGGCCAGCCCTGGAAACAGTGCGTGTTTTAAGCTTATCGCATGGCACTTAAGGAACGGGAACGGAAGGGAACAGAAGGGAATGGAATGAGGCAAAAATGCATTTTACTGCACAGGAGAATGCCACCGATGCCTTCAGGAGTCCCCAAGGAGTTCCCCAGCCATTCCTGGCAGCCGATTTTTGAAAGACGGTTCAAAATCATCCTTCAAAAATCGGCAGCCAGGAATGGCTGGGGAACGCCTTGGGGACTACCGGCGGCATCGAGGCGTTCTCCCGTACAGTAACATGCATTTTTGCCCCATTCCGTTCCCTTCCGTTCTGTTCCCGTTCTTGTAAGTGCTGTGCGATAAGCTTAAATGTTCAGATCATTTTTAAGTTTGTTGCCTTGCTTAAGATAAATGGGAAAGGTTTTTAGTGCAAAGGGATTCTGAAGCCAACAGCAGCTTCAGCACCAATTGCACAGGCAGATCACATGGCACTCCTTCTAGGCTTAGACTGTGTCTACAGAACACAATTGCAGCCACTGGATACTACTTTAGCTGCCATGGCTCTGTCCTACAGTAACCTGGGATTTATCATTTGGGAAGCACTAAGTAACTCATCACAGTACAAACTCCAGGATAGAGCTGTGACAGTTAGTGTACCAAACTGGCGTAACTGTAGTGGTGGCATGAGGGGTGTGTGGGGAGTGCGGACCACACTGGGTAACACCTGAAAGGAGAGGTGACACTTGATTAGGTCCTCCTCCCGCTGTGTGGGGTGCATTGCTGCTGTCAGCACCCACTCCTTCTCTGCTGCCCTGGCTCTCTCAGCCAAGGGAGACAAACCAGCAGAGAAGGACAGAGAAGGGTGAGCATGTGTACACTTGCCCCATCTTCCTTGGCACTTGGTTGGCTCGCCCAAGCAAGCCAAGGCATCGGGGAAGGAGGGCCAAGTGCATATGCACCTGCCTTTCTCACATTCCCTGGTGCCTTGGCTAGTTCGTGGCTGATCTCGGCAGGCAGCAAGGTGGGGGGCAGAAAAGGCCACCACTGCCGCCACCACAACCACCACCCTGGCACCCACACCAGGTGACATCAGCACTAGGAACACCACTGCATAACTGTAAGTGTACATCACTGCTACTCAGAAGTTGTGGCCCATTGACCGGTGCTGGTTCCCAAGCCATTGGCTTCTAGTCACTGGTGAGTTCCCAGGAAAGAGAGTAACAGTTGTAGCCAATGGACACAAACATGGCAATGGTCCCTGGAACACTAGAAAAAAATGCCAGTCCCCCACATCAGATAGCTTGAGATGCACTGTTACAGATACACTCTTATAGAATCATGGATTCATAGAGTTGGAAGAGACCACAAGGGCCATCCAATTCAACCCCTTGCCATGCAGGAACTCAAAATCAAAGCATCCCAGATAGGTGGCCATCCAGCCTCTGTTTAAAGACCTCCAAAGAAGGAGACTCC